ATATATTCCTCCCTTCTTCACGGTCAGCCACACACCTGTTACAAAATAAGAGCATTTACAGCTGAACCTTTCTATACTCATGTTTATATTCACAGTTATAATATAGCTGCAAGTTTATTGCACACAGAGTGATTATTTTGTCATTGTCTTGATTCTCACTGACCCAAAGGTGACATGAACGTCTATGAGTCATGTAGACCTTCTGAAAACACTGGTACAGTATAAGATATGTCTTTTTTTTTATTTATTAAAGATTAGATTGAAATCGTATTTCTACTGAGAAATAAAAATGTAAAATAGTACAATTGTCCTCATTTTAGGTGGACGGACAGATGACTACAGAAATATCTCTCTTCAGCTCAGAAGTGTCGAACAGAGGAGTGAGTACAAAAAATATGAAAATACAAAACAGATTTTGAATTATAATTACAAATGTATCATGTAGCCAAAAGCATGTGCACTTCTGAAATCATACCTCTAAATCTATGTAACATTTAAGTTTCAGTGAATAAAATATCATTTGTATACTGTACCATCTAAATTTTAAAGTCCCTTCAGAGTCATGATACCCACATATATTTTCCGTGTTAATATACAGGAAAGCGCGATGATCCAGAGGAAACCTCTGACTACCATAATGTAGATCCAAACTCAGCTACAGGTACAAATATTAAATGTACCAAATATTTAGTTTCAGGGATGAAATATGCATCACATATGTGTGTTGGGCTACATGTGTGTTAACTTCAAGGGCGCTTTAATTAGATGTCCTAATAATAATAAGAAACTCATTTGTAGCCCTTTTAAAAACACGCCTTCAGTATCATTAAACCTGTTCTTTAGTTAGTTTTACTTTATTCTGTTTTCATTTATTTCATTTTATTTATTTACATTTGAAGGTCCCTAAAGGGAGGCACGGCATCAATAAAACAAGAGAAGGTCAACAGCAACATGAAAAAACAAACAAAAACTGTCATGTTTCGGCTGTGTGGCAGGCAGGAGAGGACCCAAAC